GGTGTACTCTGATGCTTTTCTGCGTGAGGCCCAGAATAGCTGTTGATGAAATAGCATCTACCCTTCTTTCTGAATCTTCATCATCAAAGTGGAGTGGATGACATGGTGTATGCATTCTTTGGCTAGTGTGACCTCTTTCTCACTCTTTTTAAATCTAGTACAGAAAGATCTATTATGGGGCACATGCAGGTGGCTTAATAGTTTAACGTTCCGCCAGTGGCCATGGCACCCCATGTGGGCACTGTTTCAAGTCGCGGCTGGATTGGAAGTGGAGCACTGGGATTTCACGTGCACGTCATGGAATGCAGGCCTTGCAGGTGAGCTGTTTAACCCACTGCACCACAACATCCCCCATCACATGTGTTTGTAAATGTCTACTGCCTTGGCCTGTGTTTTTCTTCAGGATGGGGCTTTTCCAGATGTGCCTTGTGGGCTGTGTGTGTGATCTAGGCCATCTGTCAAGCCATTTGCTTCTAGTTGTCATGGGTCTTAATCTCACTCATTCTGTTTCATTACTGTAGGCATTTGTAATATTTTTGTGAAACATCTGCCAATCATTTCTCTTTATTTTTATTCCTGGAAAGATTTTTTATTTAGTGTTTTGGCTTTTTATTTTGATTTGATTGTGATTGAGGACTAGAACCTACTTTCTGGGTCTAAATAGTCGACCGCCACATCAGGCACATGGGCTGAGAGTCATCTGACTGCCTTGCCTCATTCTCTTTCCTGCAGGTTAAGTTTTCCTGAGGACCAGTGTTTGCGTCTACACTTTTACATCAGTCCAGTTTTGTTCCTCAATCCAATTTCTTTTCTTTCCTAAGGTATATTTATTTGAAAGTCAGAGGTACAGAGAGAGAGAAAGGGACACAGAGAGAGATCTTCCATACACTGGTTCCCTCCCCAGATGGCCATCACAGCCAGCACCGGGCCAGGCCAGAGCCAGGAGCCAGGAGCTTCTTCCAGGTCTCCCACAGAGGTGCGGGGCCACAGGCACTTGGGCCAACTTCTGGTGTTTCCCAGGCCATCAGCAGGGAGCAGGATTGGAAGTGGAGCAGCAACCCCCTGTGGGATGCCAGCACTGCGGACAGAGGCTTTGCCCGCTATACCACAGTGCCAGCCCTCTAAATCCCATTTCTGCTTTCAGAGCCTTTTTATCAGAGTTGCTGTGGCACTGACTTGAGAACTTCCTTGCTGCCCGTCCTGCACTGATGTCAGTGACTGCCTTCCACCACCAGGAGAGGGACACACATTGGGGTTGTTATTAGGTTGGAAGTCTTAAAAAATATTTCCTTATTGGATAGGCAGAGAGACAGAGACAGAGAGAGCAAGCTCCCATCTGTTCTTCACTCCTGAAATATCCTGACGCTGGGAGCCAGGGACCCAATTCCAATCTCCCATGTGCGGGTCCCATTTCTGGGGTCATCACTGCAGCCTGCCAGGGTCTGTGTTAGCAGGAGGCTGGAACCAGGAGCCAGAGTGAGGGATCCAACACACACTCTCTGAGGTGGGCCACAGGTTTCCTGAACAGTGTCTTATCTTCCAAGCCAAACCCCTGCCCCTAAGGTTTTTTTTTTATTTTAAAGTTGGAATAGTGTTGGCCTTTCTGTTACAGTACTGAAAACATAGGCGCAATTAAAATGACAAGCCCAGGGTACAAGCTTGGCTCAGCGGTTACAACATCACTTGGATGCCTGCATCCCAGATCATGGTGCTGGGTTCAAGTCCCTGGGATCTCCCATGGGAGACGCCAGCTTCCTGCTGATTGAACCCTGGGAGACAGCAGGTGATGGCTCAAGTACTTGGGCCTGTGCCACTCACCTGGAGACCCACGGAGTTTCTGATTCCAGCCTGACCCAGCGCTGGCTACTGGGGCATCTGGGGAGTGAACCAGTGGATGGGAGATGAAGCTCTCCACCTCACTCCCTGCTCCTCCGGCCTCCCCCTCCTTCCCTCCTTCCTCCTCCTCCCCCTCCAGCTTCCATATAAAATGAATACAACTAAGTAAATAAGCAAACCTCAAGACACTTTAAAAGAAAAAAAAGGAGCCCCTTGGAAAGTGGTAAAAATAGAAGTGAGCTAACAAGATGGACCCAGATTGGCTGAAGCAGCTGTGAAGATTATTGAACTACTGTTAACTTTCTCTGGTGTTACAGAGCAGTTTCTCAGCCATGGCATTAATATTTTGTCCAGATCATTCTCTCTGTCTTGTGGGGCTGTGTGTGCATTTTATGGTATGGGGCTGTGTGCATTTACTTTTAATTTTTTATTTAATTATTGTCTAATTTATTTGGAAAGCAGAGTTAGAGGGACGAGAGAGAGAGAGATCCTCATCAGCTGGTTTACTCCCCAAATGGCCACAATAGCCAGGGCTGTGCCAGGCCAAAGACAAGAGGCTGGAGCTTCTTCTAGGTCTCCTACATGAGTGCAGGGGTCCAAGCAAGCACTTGGGTCATCTCCCGCTGCTTTCCCAGGTGCATTAAAAGGAGCTGGATCGGAAGTGGATCAGCTGGGTCTTGCAGCATGCCCAAGCAGGATGCCGGCATCGCTGTGCCACCATGCCTGCCCCTGTCTGCCTTGCTCTGGACCCTCCCCTCCCTCTGGGCGCCCTGTACATGGTGACCAGCCAGGCTGCCCTCTGCACCGTGCGCCTCCTGACTTGTTCTTACTGGTGCACATGCGTCTGTCCCTGGAGGCTGCCTGTGGGTTACCTCACCCCTTCGCTGGGTGCGTCAGTGCTGCCCTTGATGTATCCCTTCTCAGGGGGGTGCGGGAGCCGATGCCCACCTCACACTGCGCCTTCAGAGTAGACGGGGGTGAGCACCGTGGTGGTCTGCAGGTGTCACTGGGAGCACTGGGAGAAGGCCTGTTCTCACATCCGGCCCTGAGCTGTGTGCTGCTAGGGCTCCTCCCCACCCATCTCCAGCTCACCCTCTCCTCTGGTGCAAGGGTCTGAATGTGTGCATCCCTCAGAATCAGGGTCTGGAATCCTAGTCTCCAAGCAGATGGTGGTAAGAGCCGGTAAGAGACCGCAAGCTGCCTAGCCCCTCTGCCAAGCGGGGATAGTGACAGGAAGGCTGCTGTGACCAGGGCAGGGCCTTGGCCCAGCTCCACCCTGCAGGGCCCTCTGCACACCTGCCAAGGACACCTGGGGGAGGCCGGCCCAGAGGGCAGCAGGTGCCAGCTGACAGACCACGTGTGGGAGTGGCTTTTGAGCCGGGTGCTGTGGAGAGGCTGGAAGGGTCTGGGCTGTGTCCTAGAAAAAGCTGTGTTGCTGTGAATACCCAGGCAAGGGCTCAGGGCCAGGGGAGCGCCGTCCTCGGGGGCCAACCTCTGGTCCTGTGCGGTGAGAACAGGTTGTTGGTGGACACGTGCGTGGGTGAGGCCTGGTCACACAGGGGAGGGGTTGAGTGGGGGTGCCCCGATCCGTGCCCTGTGGAAGGCAGACCTTGTGGGTGATGAACGTGAGACAAGGGGAATGATTTGTGATGGAGTTGGTACTCAGAAGGGAAGCAGAGCCTGAAGATCCGGAACATTCTCAGGCTGTCTGGGTTAAGGAGAATGAGAGTGGCAGCTCAGGAGACAGCTGGAAAGGTGTGGCCCTGTGAGTGTGCATTAGAAAGGCAGAGAGAGGCTGACTCCATCAGCTGGCTGACTCCACACATGGCCCCAAGTCCCCGCGCTGTGCCTCCGGGGCGGGACAGCGTCAGTGCAAGAGTCCCTGACTGGTGGAGTCGCTGTCCTGGACCCAGCCTGGGACACTCAGGGACATCCCAGCTGGGACACTGAGGGGCATGGGGGCAGGGCCGCCCAAAGCCACAGAGCCTTGGAGGCCCAGATGCAGGCCCAGAGAGGGCTGCTGTCCCGCCCGCAGGTTGGGACTTGTCTGGACCTGTCCCTCTTGTCCCGCATCTCTCCCTTTTGGAATGTGCCTGATCCCACTCCCAGCAGGAGCAGTCGTCTCCACAGTCACACCTGCAGCACACCTGCACCAGATGGGGCTGTCGGGATGCAAGGACCGTGCTAGCCTGCAAGGAGGACGTGGGCCGGGGCTGCCTGGGCTGGAGTGGCAGGGTGGGGACGTCTGTGCCCAGGTTTCATGAATGAAACCCTGACCCCCGTGTGAGGTCCCAGAAGGCGGGACCTGAACCTTCCGCCCCAGGAGGTCCCTGAGCCGAGAAGCCGGCCCTCACCAGACGATGCAGACCAGGGTCAGTACTGATCCTTTCAAAGGCTTTATTTTTGCACAGTTATATTTATTTATTCATTCTTTGAAAGAGAGAGTTTTGGGGCTGTCCTTGAGGTAAAACAGGTAAAGCCACTGCCTGCAACACGTTCCAGCTGCTCCACTTCTGATGCAGCTCGCTGCTAATGGCCTGGGAAAGCAGTGGAAGATGATGTGGGTGCTTGGGCCCCTGCACCCACATGGGAGACCCTGAAGAAGCTCCTGGCTTCTGCCTGGCACAATCTGAGCCTCTTGGACAATTGGGGAGTGACCAGCAGATGGAAGAGCTCCCTGACTCTCCCCCTTTGTAACTCTGCCTTTCAAATAAAAAATAAAGCTTTTAAAAAAGGAAGAAAGAAAGAAAGGCAGTGGTTGACAGAAAGAGACGAGGATGTTCCATCAGCTGGTTCACTCCCCAAAGGACTGCACCAACCAGGGCTGGACCAGGCTGAAACCAGGAGCCTGGAACTCCACCCAGGTCTGCCACGTGGATGCCAGGGGCCCAAGCACCTGGGCCCTACTCCGCTGCTTTCAGTGGCTATGTTATAGGGAGCTGGATGGGAAGTGGAGCAGCCAGCACTGGAGCCAGTGCTCATAAGGATGCCAGCGCCACGGCCGTGCCTAAACCTTCTGTGCCACAGTGCCGGCCCCTCTTGCTGACTCTAGACCCGTCCTCGTGGTGCTGGCCCTTTCTGCCTTCAAGCTCACTCATTCAGTGACACTGAGTGGCTCCCGGGGCTGCCCTCAGCTCACAGCCCGGCCCCTGGGGCACCCCCAGTGCCAGACACACGATTTTCCCTTTCCCCTGCAAAGACCTCCCAGCCCTCCAGCTGTTCGAGGTGGAAGAAAGAAGGAAACGGGATGAGCTGCAGGTGCTGGAGTCCCAGGCCTTCCAGCAAATGGCGCTTCCTCCAAGCACCCACCCAGGTACAGCAGGGCTTGGAGCACGGAGTTGCACCCATGCATGGTGCACGCACACACACACATGTGTGGCATGACCATACAACCACATGGCTGCTGGGCTGTGACCAGGTGGGATGGGAGAATGATGGGCTGTGATGGGGCAAGTGGGCTGTGACTGGGCTGCAATGGGAGGCTGGGCTTTGCTCAGAGTCAGGCACCTTCCTGGACCCCTGGGACCTCCCACTGGGGAAGGAAGGTGATGTGTATGGTGTGCCCATGGTTACCACCCTACACAGAGAAGTGCAGGCCCTGAGCTTGGAGGGGCCTCCGTGGCCAGAGGGGAGGGAGGAGAGAAGGGCACAGCATCTGGGCTGTAACGGCTGCTTCGTGGCTCTACCTGTGGTCCCTGCAGGGCCAGCCAGGACCAAGATCACCCAGGAGCACTGCAGGAACAGATGTCTCTGGGCTTTGAGCCAGGCCTTCTGGGTAGGGTTCTCAGGGGCTGGCGGCACCCCTGACCAGCTTGGTTTCCTGTAGCTGGAGGCGGCCCACAGATCCTGGAGAACAGCCTGGAGGAGGAGGAAGAGGAGGTGACCATCGAGATCATGTTGTCCAGCTCTGGGGACGAGGACTCCCAGCACAGCCCCTGTGGGCCTCAGCCCTGCCAGGGCAGTGAGGAGACAGCGGACGAGGTGCCCGCCTCCAGGAAAGCCTACGTGTGCCCCGCGTGTGGGAAGGCCTTCCGCTGGAGGGTCAACTTTGTACGGCACCTGCGTAGCCGCCAGGACCGGAAGAAGCCATGCGTGTGCCCTGTGTGTGGGGAGCTGTTCAGCGAAGACGAGGACCTGGACGGCCACCTGGAGGCCCACGAGGCCCAGAAGCCCTACAGGTGCGGCTCCTGCGGGAGGAGCTTCCGCCTCAACTCCCACCTGCTCTCCCACCGGCAGATCCACCGGCAGCCCAGCAGACTGGAGCCGGAGAAGCAGAGCGAGGAGGGACTGGGCTTCCAGCGCCGGGAGCCCCTGGCCTGGCACCGCGGCCACACACACCAAAAGGATGCCATGTGGCCCTTCCAGTGCCGCTACTGCGTCAAAAGCTTTGGGCAGAACTCGGACCTCCTCCACCACGAGCGCGTGCACATGAAGAGGCGCTCCAAGCAGGCCCTAAACTCCTACTGAGGGCTACCACCCAGCCCCATGCTCCTGCTGCCCCCTGCGCCCGGGCCGTGTCCAGCCCCACCTGCTGCCACGGTAGCCCCACCAGTGCTTGCTCCATCTCAGAGGCCCCTGCACACGGTCGTCCCAGCTGGCAGAGGGCTGGTCTCCATCCTGGGACCACTGGGTCACCAACCAGTCCTCAGCACTAACATTCCCATCTTGCCCTGAGCACGGACCCCAGCGTCCAGGCTTGCTGCTGTCCCTGCCCAACAGGTTGGGTGGGGAGTGGACCCGGTGCACAGCACATCCTGTCTCCAAGGCAGCTGAAAGGCGGATGGTGGGGGTGGGGTGGGGAGCCCTATGGTGGGAGCTCCAGGGTGCTCAGGGCTGGGAAACCGCCATGGTCCCTTTGGATGTGTGCGGGGGAGTGGGGCTCCCCAGGAAGGCAAAGCTCTCCTTTTTAACTGTTGTGCACCTGCCCCAGAATGCCCCTTTCTCTGCCCAGATGCCCTTGGTAAACATTTGAGTTGGAAGCTGAGCTGTGGTTGTTTGAAAGGACTTAAAGCCCTCCTTGCCCTCCATGTCCAGGAGCTGAGCCCCCAGTGAGGGCATTGACCTGGGGGTGCCTGGCCCCCAGCTGAGGCTTGTCTGAAATCCTGCTCTGCCTGCTTCAGCATCATAACTCAGTGGGCTCTGCACCTTGGGTGGGTTGGTGCAGCAGAAATGTCGGTTACAATTCCCAAGGCTGCAGGTCTGGGGGCAACCTGTCAGCCAGGCTGGACCCTCCTGGAAGGGCTGTAGGGGAGATTCCGCCCCAGCTTCCAGGGTCTTCCTGGCAGGTGTGGCTGTTCCTGGCTGTGGTGCTCTGTGAGTCTGTCTCCTGGTTTCCCTTCTCAGAGAGACGTAAGTCACTGTTCCCATATGAACTTGTCTACACCGCAGTCACAGGGCACAGGTGCAGTGCACACATCCGCCCACACCTGCACTGCTGCCCTCCCTCCTGAGCCTGTTGGAGCGGGATTCAGACTGCAGGGCCTGCCTCCTGGCCTGGTGTCCCCTGCAGGGGGTTTTGGGTCAGGCATGGCCAGCCACGGGCAGTGAGGCTGAGCACCAGGAGCTGGTGCTGCTGCTCCCGGGAGGCAGCTGTGTCAGCTCCGCTCCAGTGAGAAGGCCTGGGGGCTGTGCAGCTGAGCCGGGGTGCCTGGATCAGGTGGGTGTTCCTGTGTCGGGCCCACCGCTGGGCAGGCTGGGTGGAGGTGCCCAGTGCTCCATGTCACCCCGTCACTTCACACCAAGAGGCCTCTGCTCCACACCCAATCAGTTACAAGGTTTTGTAGCCACAGGGACTGCTGAGTAGATGGACCCACTGGCCTAGGAACAGGAAGCATGGTCCAACCCTGCGGTCAGACCTCAGAGAACTGGCGAGGCCCTTGGTTTCTAGTCAGCTGGGATGGGGACATCCCCATGCAGAAAATGGGCCCTCTGTGACGTCCACTCTGTGACATCCCGGCCAGACCCGTGTGTGCCCAGCACGTCCTTGGCCTCAGGAAGGTCATTTCCCCTGGGGCTGTGGACACTTGGCTGGGAGAGGAGCCCTCTGCTCTCCGGTGAGTGTCTTGCCTGCAAGTCGGGCTTTGTGATGGACTGGAGCCCAGAGGAGGCAGTCCCACCCCCCAGGTACTGTCAGGGCGCCCAGCTGTGATTCAGAGCCAGGTACCTGGTGGCAGGAAGACTGTGGCCTGTGTCTAGAGAGCCTGCAGGGCTGGGGCACAGCCAGGGGCTTCTCTGAGAGAAGCTGCAGCCCCACAGCCCACCAGGCCCAAGGGTGCTGGAGCAGAAGTATCTGCCTTCCCTTGGCCACTGGCATTTCTGGCCTCAGCTGAGGTGGGTAAAATATACAAGGTATTTGTGAGGCAGCTGAAGAAGTGCCTGTAGACAGATTATTTAGGGGCGGGGGAGGTCGTTGTGGCATAACAAGTAAAGTCACAGCTGGGAACACCAGCATCCACGTGGGAAACCTGGGTGCAGTTCCATCCTCCTGGCTTTGGCCGGGCCCAGCCCTGGCTGCTGTGGCTATTTGGGGAGTAAACCAATGGATGGAAGATCTCTTTCCCTCTCTCTGTAACTTTTAAGCAAATAAAATAAACCTAAAAATAAAAAGCAGCAATGTGTTTATTTTTTAAAGATTGATTTATTTACTTGAAAGTCAGAGTTACAGAGAGAGAGAGAGAGGTCTTACATCCGCTGGTTCACTCCCTAGTTGTCCTCAATGGCTGGAGCTGCACCGATCCAAAGCCAGGAGCTTCCTCCAGGTCTCTACGCGGGTGCAGGGCCCCAGGACTTGGGCCATCTTCTACTGCTTTCTCAGGCCATAGCAGAGACCTGGACCGGAAGTGGAGCAGCCGGGAATCGAAACCAGCACGCATATGGGATGCCGGCACTGCAGGTGTGGCAGCTTTCCTCACTGAAATGAAGTGCCGGCCCCAGCAACAATGTTTTAAAATAAATTAAAAATAACTATTTGTTTGAAAGGCAAGGTGAGTGGGAGATCTATCTGCTGATGGCCCCATATGCTTGCAGCAACTAGGGCTGGGCCAGGCAGGAGCCAGGAGCCCAGAACTTCATCCAGATCTCCGGTGTGGGCGGCAGGGACCCAAGCACTTGAGTGAGCATCCGTTACCTCTCAGGTTGCACTAGCAGGGAGCCAGATGGGAAGCAGCGTAGCACACCAATATGGCATGCAGCTGTCCCAAGCAACGGCCTACCCCACAGCACCCCATCACGCACCCCTAAATGTCTCTATAAAAGAGGTTCTTCAGTGACCAACACCTGCAACAATGCTCAAGTTCTTTAGGAATCAGGTACACTCAGATGGAGCCTGAAAGCACAGAGCAGTCAGGTAATCACAATGGGAATGACAGCACCATTTGGCAGGGACGCGGCCATGCAAGGGAGCTTGTGCTGTGGATGTGCAATGCTACAAGCATTCCAGGAACCCGGCAGTGACCCCCAGGGTGCAGAGATGCAGCTTCTACGCTGTAGCTCCTCCACTATGTACATACCTGACAGATCTGTGCCGTGTCACCAAAACCTGTGCCAGAGTTTAAATACCAGCACTCAGAGCCCCAACCGGAAAACACTGCCATGTGCCTGATGGTGACTACTCACGCAATGATTCAACGGTGGCAAAGGTGAGACACAGCAAAATGCAAGAAGACAAGTTCAAGTCAGCCTTTGGAATCAGAAAGGCCAGGTAGAGTCCCTGCCCTCCGACATCATTTACAGCAAGCGTCAGGTGTCGGTTGGCCCCACTGTGTGTCAGCGCTGGTGCCTGAGGCCCTGGGACTCCCCTCAGGTGTGCCTAGCTTCTGCAAAGCTGGTGGCTCCCAGGTGTGTCAGGAACGTTTCCTAAGACAGCTCTGCCTGAGGGGACTTGAAGACAAATGTGCTGTCCACAGGCATAGGTGCTGACCCTGCAGCACTGCTGTCGCCTTGCAGGTTGAAGATGCAAGTTCCAGTGAAAATGTGGGGACATAGAAAAGTTAATACAGAGAAGATGGAGAATGAGAAAACAAAGCAAGTGTCAGGAAGGGGCACCTGCTGCCATGAAGCCCAGCCCTTAGTGTGTCCATTATTTCCAGAAACAGACGGCTTGTTCCTATGAAAATAAGCAACACATTCTTTTGGATACTAGCCATTAATGTGTCCCGTAGTGATACAGATATCAAAACAAACTTTTATGATAAAGCATTTTGACATTGTGGTAGTATTTTTACATTCTATCTAAAATACTTTTTATTTTTTTCTTTATTTTTTAAAGATTTGTTTGTTTGTTTGAAAGCTAGAGTTAGAAGCAGAAAGAGAGAGAGAGGTCTTCCATTTGTTGGTTCACTTCCCAAATGGCCACAATGGCTGGAGCTGGGAAGATCAGATGCCAGGAGCCAGAGTTTCTTCCAGGTCTCCCACGTGGGTGCAGGGGCCCAAGGACTGGGGCCATTGTCCACTGCCTTCCCAGGCCAAGCAGAGACTGGGTCAGAAGGAGAGCAGCCGGGACTCGAACACACCCGTGATGCCAGCACTGCAGGTGACAGCTTTACCCACTATGCCACAGCACCAGCCCCTCTTATTTATTTGGAAGGCAAACTGAGAGAGAGAGAGAGAGAGAGAGAGAGAGAGACCATCCATCTGCTGGTTCACCTCCCATATACTCACCACAGCCAGGCCAGGCCAGGCTCAACCCAACATCCTAAACCCAGGGCAGAAAGTACAAGAGGAGTGAGGCAGTGTTTTTACACCAGGCACCAAATGATCTGCCAGTGCCTCTTAGGAGAAATAACTCAGGGAACCTCAACCAGCGAGGCACAGCTCTAGGAGCCGCAACTAGGAGGGGCCCATGTCCGCGGCGCATTTGCACAGGTGGAACACCGCTCACAACCTCAGATATGGGGAAGCAATGATGAGGAAGCATGAAACTCATGGTGCAACATATTTATATTAACTTTAATAAAACTCTAATAGGGAGTTACTAACAGTGACTATAGTTAAATAGGAAAAAGAGAAAACATAAGAGGGGCAATTAAACTGATACAACGCAGGCCTCAGCTTCACAGCAGGGAGGCCACTGTCCCAGGCACCAGGCTCACAATGAGCTCAGATCTGCTCCTGAGGTCCCAGCACTCAGTCACCAGGGCATCATGATGGTGTTCATGGCCTTGAGGCTGCTGCAGGCCTCTTCGCTGAGGGCTCCAGCTGGCAGGAGAGGGCGTAGCTAATGGAGAGAGCACAGCCATGAGTCCACCAAGAGCCTCAGCTCAGGCCTCCCTCCCAGGGCCTGTCCAGGAGCTGCAGTCCTGGGGCCAGCAGTGCCCATGGGACAGGGCCTGCTGCCCACCAGGGGGCCTGGGCGATGCTCCCTGCAGCTGCACAGCAGGGAGAGCCCTCCCACCCCCACCCTAGGCTTCACCTAATTCCTGCCCATCACTCACCTCTCGTTCTCCGTGAGAAACTCCACAGACCGGAACCACACGACAAACTCCTCATCACACTTAAAATAATACTTGCTCGCTGCCACCTGCAGTAGTTGGATTTCTTGCAGGACTGCAATTTCCTGGGGACGGAGGGACACACAGGACACTGTCAGGGCCTGGGCTGGGAACGCTGTGGGGACCTGGTAGGGGAGGGCCCGCGGGGTTCTGGGTGTTTACTCTTAAGAGACCACCTCCACTCTAACCCATGCAGGCCCCACCCTGCCCTCCGATGGGGTTTCAAACAGCCCCTCCCCAGGGGCTTCTCCTTGATTCCAGTCCTCTACCTGCACCCACCCTAGGGATGGGTCTCCCCCTCATGTGTACCCAGCCCTCCTAATAGAGCAAAGCTGCAGGGGTGATGCATGGGGGTCCCAACTGGGACCACCTGTGACCCCCATTCCCCTCCTGCCCTGAGTGAGGACACAGCTGCTCACCTTATTCAGTTTCTGGAAGCTGATGTCAGCCTGCTGGAAGGCAGACAGAGTCCATCAGAACCGCTCCCAGCTGGGCC